ACAACAACAAAAACCAAACCAAACCAAACCAAACCAAACCAAACCAAAAAAAACAAAACAAAACAAAACAAAACAAAACAAAACAAAACAAAACAAAACACCAAATGAAAAGCCGACTGTTTTACATGCTATCCCCTAACTGACCCTAAGACTGTCTTCCAGAATACGACTGTGCCTCCACTTTCACAATACATCCTAAAAGTTCAGTGAGAAGCTTCTCTGTGAATCCTACAAGGAAATAAAACTTTTTTACATCCCCATATATTGACACAAGAAACACAAGAATGATATTGTTAGCTCTGCGCTTGATGACCACTTCAGATTCCACAAACTCGTGCATAACTCCTTCCACAAACTTGCGTATCATTATATCATCCAGTAGTCTCTCCGATGCCCACAGGCTTCCCTTTAAACTTCCTACAACAGACATCACAATGTCAATTTATTTTATTACAATTTAAAGCTGAACACACATACACGTACACAGTAAATTAAAAAGCCACAAGAACATTGTATGATTTGTAACGGAGTCATAACAGAGAAAAGAAAACAGTTGAATATTGCAGCTCCACAAGCAAGACACCCCAGTAGTACACACATTAGTTTGTTGTCAAATATGTTCCTCCTTGGGCCAGTTCTGACATCAAATTATTCATGAGCAAAATCTAACAAAAATAACATGTTCTGGATTTCCCACCCACTTTCCTTTTCCTTTAAAAATGCCCATCATTCTCAACGTCTTCAATTTACTAAGATGGCAAACAAATGCTAGTTGCAACAGGTCTTAAAAACTTAACACCTCAAAATGTTAGAAGCCCAAATAAAAGACATCTCAAAATAAGAGGTCATCAGAACACCAATATCATCTCCTAAGGTAATATTTCATGAAAAAAGCTCCAGAACTTTGTCAACTGTCTGACATGTGGCAGGCCATGACTGAGGCCCTGTTTACATGAGTCTGGACAAATTTTTGCAAGGACAAATACTTGCACGGATTACCATCCATTTACATGGGACTGGTGGAACTGGATGAATTTTTGAACGGCTAAGCATGCAAGTTTGGGACCTGAAAAAAGCAGGTCAACTTTTCAACCGGCATGGTTCCATATTTCGTACAGACTAGTGTAAACACCAGAACCATGCAACTTTTTGCTCAGATAGTGCGGTCGAGATCTGGAATCTAGTTATGTTTTGCCTGGTTAGCAAAAATGAAACATCTTGCTACATTTTGTCCCTGGTTTGTTACATTTTGTTAAATTTAAGACAAAAGAAACAAACAAAAGCAGATTACACCTATGAGGAGATGAGTGGTACGTCGGGGGAATTTCTCCTTGTCGTTATCAAGGTACTTTTCCAAAAACATTTTTGGTTACGTCTTCATACTTGCTCCTGATTGTTTCCCAATCAACTCCTTCCCCTGCTTTTCCTACTGTGTAGTCTATAACTACATGTAGCAACAAATTAATTTCTTCATCAGACCATGTAAAGTTTTTGACTACCACCATGTTTGATTTGCCGTGTACTGCATCAGCTGCAACATGATTGGCTTACATGTAAAACACTAGTGATAAACAATCACAACAGAGACATAAAAAAGCCATTCAAATGCCGCAAGTGGTCTAAAATTTGCACGGATCCATGTAAACACCACTGTAATCTGTAACAGAATTTGCACGGATCCACGTAAACAGGCGGTCCAGGAACAAAATTCGTCCATACAAAAATTTGTCTGGACCTGTGTAAACAGGGCCTGAACTTTTAGGTAAATAACCATGACCATTGTATAGTGAGGCAGCTACTGTACACCTGTATATAATAACTATTTATTACCCAACTAAGTTACTTTAGAGGGCCAATAACTAAAATTAACCAATCAGATTGCTCCATTGTCGGTACTAGACTGTAATATTGGACCAGGCACTGTTCCAAATGATCCCACATGATCACTCTTGAAGATTTACTGTAGTTTTATGGCTTATGTTTCTGAAAGCAATTGCTGTGACATAAAAGATCCCTTTTCTTCTTCTTCCAACTCTCTTTCCCTTCTGTTTTGCTTCATATTAGATGTGAGTGTATGCTTAGTAGGCTCCAATCAGAACTGAGCGCTTGAAGTTAACAATGTTTTTCAAGTCCGTGATCGTAGCATTTTAGTTCTTAACATTTTCAGTCATGTAATAAATCTCTTATTAACCAAGCTAACTCGGGACCGTACTAAGAGAATATCGGCCCTCAGTCTTTTTTGTATGGACCTTGCCTTGCTTAGTTTGCACTGTCAAGACCTTGGAATGATATTCTCCCAGTAATGCCCTTGGATTTGGTAAACAAGGTATATATACAGGTAGAAATCATTCTTATCTGACAGAACCTGTGTGAAGTGAGTCTTGGCTTCTTGTGACTCCTATTCTGTAACTTGGTACTTCATTGCGTTTCTGTTGCTGTTTTTGTTTGGGTTGATATGCATATCTGACTCCAAGGATCCCCGAGACAGCTGGTGCCACACCAAACGCAGGGAAACATGCCACACTGCGACAAGTTCCTAGATTTCCACTTCGATATACATTATTAAGGCCCTGTGAAAAAAGTCATGCGTAAACCACAATCATTTCAAAACTTCTCTTTCATATTCTCTTACAATTGGTAATAAGGCTCCATCGTGTGGTTTCACAAAAAAATTAAAAAACTATCCAAACCGGCCCATCCCAACAGGGGTTATTTGAGATTCTAAGGCAGAGGTTGATCCCAAAAGCCAAAAGTTTTAAAGGAAAGTATGAGGCAATAAGAGGCTGGGACTAGTGGATTGTTCAATCAGACTAGTAGACTCTGTCATTTACTTGCAATTGCCCAATGGGCAAGCGAATTTTCCTGGGAAAAATCGTAAGGAAATTCAAATATTTACAGAAGTACTCTAAGAGATAAATTTTTTGGGGAGCTAGTGAGAATGACTTTTGGGCTAGTACATCATAGTTACAGCTTGTCCGAAGAAGAAGCTGGAAAATTGGTCGTCTTGGACTCTGGAGGGGGCGGGGGTTGGGGTCAGGTCGATGGGATGAGTGTGAGTGTTCCACATTCTGTTAATTTTTGTCCTTCTTGCTGTCAATTTTAATCTATCAAAACTTGAAAATTTTCTTATTTGATATCCCCTGATATCTGTTCTAAAATAGCCCATAACCCATTAATTTTACCCCCAAATATTCTGCATCCCAAAAACCTTTAACAGGGCCTTGGCAATGCTTTCGGGCTAAATAGAATCTTGAAGTATACGTTTTGTCTAGTTTTCAGCCGTTTTGACAGTACAACATAAGGCAATTATGAACTAAACTGGCCGAAAACTTGGCAAGAAACTGCGAGCCACATGCTAAATAACTTCAAATAAATAAAGATAAAATCGCTCAATGTTATTTCACTAAACTGATATAAGCCTACCTGAATGCCAGCTTGTTTTAAGAAGTTTCTGCAGCCATTCGCAGCCATTTCAATGCGATTTTATGCAAAAATATGAAGTTAAAAACTTAGAAACATCAAGCAACAGTCGTCCGCCATATTTGGTTTACTCCCACAATGCATCACATTCGGTTCCAGTCTTCAGTGCTGATAATGATGATGTCAGTCGTAAACAAGATGGCGGTCACCAAATTTATACGTGGATAGCGTTTTTCGTAGTTCCTTCTCAGTTTCCTTGGAAATTGCTCAAGATCATAACTTAGATAAAATGTAGGCTCTCTAATGACAACAGACTGCGGCTATGAGTTGGTTTGATCCGTCGAGCTTCTCATCTTTCGCTAAAACAGCTTTGAGTCAAGCACAAAATCTCCAAAAATCCATCGACAAGGTTTTGGATATCCAGGAAAAACCTAGTGGAACTGCGTCTAATTCTTCAGGTAAGCGCATCTTTCTCTGCCTGTGTTTATCATTTTTATGTCATGTTTGATGCCTGAATCTGTGATATATCCAAGTCTAGCACGAGGAGAGTTAAGATTGAGGAGTGCTGTGCAAGCTAAAGAAATTTTAGATATGAATATTAGAATTAAGCTTAGTTAATGTAACATTCACAATCGAAAGTTTTGCTTGGAATAATAATTAACAGTTGAGTTTACCTGTGTTGTGAATCAGTTTTTGGTGGATTTTATTTACTTGATCATCATTAAAAATGTTTTTTTTTGTGACATACAGGTGTACAGTCAAGGTACAATAGGTACAATAGGTACAATAGTAAACTAGAAAGAAAAACTGATTACTGCACCTTTAGAGTTCATGTTTTATGGAAAGGCACAGTAATTAATGCATGTAGTTTTTCAATACAGTGAGGACAGTGACATATACCTGTCTGATAGTTATTACCATTTGGCTTATGAGTTCTATGTATTATAACAGCTCACTTTCTTAACACAGGTGTCCTAAGCTTACGAGAAAAACAAACAAAAAAAATAACTACCTATGTACGTATTTATTCATGAAAGGGTTACTCACACATTGTCTTAGTCTGAATGTGACTTTCCAGATGACACGGTGTTAGATTACGTGAGGAACCATTGAGGATTTGAGCACTTTGTAAGAAGTTGTTATGGGAAGGAAATATTGTCAATTCAGAATGCTAAACACTCCAAGATATGAACATTTTACATGCACGTTTAATCCTTGTGTATGCCTTGTTATGACAAGCCAAGCATGACAAAAGTGGGTTGAGTTTAAAATCATCTATCGAGTTTCAGTGATTGATATGTGAGATTGGGATGTGATATAAATTTGGGAATCAGTATGTGAGATTGGGAAATCACTGTATGAGAAATGGAAATCACTAGAGTCTAGATTGAAGCTCTAAGATTGTTACACCTTGGTAAATGTCTCATTTCCAAAAATCCCTACACATTACACAAACAATATAATTATGCTGAAAAGAGCATTTTCTTCGGTCAATTCCAAGATTCCTTCTTTCTGCAGCAGCCTCTGATCTTAAGAATGGGCATGGCTGTGGAAAAGGCTTGGGTCCAGGATCAACTTTGGTGACCAAGGGAGGATTTCATTCCCCATACAACTTCTTAATGTAGTGCTCAAATTCTTAGTGGTTCCTTGTGTAACCTAGGTCTGGGAATGCTTTATGCAACAATTATNAAATATTACCTAGGTAAAAATCAAATTTACCTGAAGAAAAAAATTACCTACAACAATTATATCACAAGAGACATTTTTCCAGACCCATTTTCAAACACCAAGAAGAGAGCTGAAAATGTGGCATACAGTGTATATAGCAAAGTATATTTTTGATAAAATTTGAGCTGTTTGTAATTGTGATAAAACACTGTCTAGAGTGTTTCATATTTGACAAAACTTAGTGCCAAATGGAGAAATGAAGTGCAAATAACCCATGCAACCATAAGAATTTAATATCAGGTATCCAAACCATCATTGTGGCTTTGACTTCATTCATTGAATTATTGTACATGTAACTTGCAATCCTTCAATAATACTCAATCAAACATGCACATTTTCTCAGAGTTAAACCCAACTAATGATTCCCTTTTCTTTGCAGTCAACTATTATCACTGAGAGATTAAATAAACTCTGAAAAAAAGAAACTTATGTTAAAATTTATAAATCAAAATATTTCTAAAAAATCTGCTGATCACAACGTACCGATGTGACCTTGTGAACCCTCTGAAGTGAACTTCTGTTTCCAGTCTGTTAACATTATTGTTGACTTCAAAAACCTTACTGACAATTGATTGAATAAAACTTGCGACTGTCAAGGAGAGGTGCTGAAATATAGTTTAGTATCTAAACAATATAAATATAGTATCTAAACTACCCAGCTCTCAAATTTGTGCTCTTAGCCCAGTTGTAGTATCTGAGCAGCATATACAAGGTCACAAGATGCACCCTACAAGTGGAGCTCAGAAATATTATCTGAGTATGTTTGTATTTCTTGCTATAATCAGTAAATGTCACTATTTTTCTACAGCTTCAAGTCAACAGAAATCTGCCACAGTAACTGTGTCAGGTGATTCTGCAGAGGAAACTTTAACCACAAGAAAATCCTCCACCTCATTATCTACCAATTCAGCCTCAAAATCAAGCAGAAAAACTTCTTTAGGTGTGAACAATAAAAAAGACAGTGATAGTGAAGGAAATTCATTTTGGTCATCATTCCTTGGTGATTCATTCACAAATGCAGAATCCAAAACATCAAGTCGCAAAACTAGTGCAAGAAAACTTGGGTCTAGAGTAAGTGGGAACAGAATTGGAGGAAGTGATAACAGAAATGAATCTGACAGTACCACTACCTCAAATGGACAAGAGAATATCTCATCAGTGAGGTTACAGAAACAACAAGATAAAAAACATGGTATCAATCAGACAGATACTACAAAACCAGATGAGCATTTAGTAGCATCATCACATGCATTGTTGTTGCAACAGCAGAGCACAACAAATGATAGTAAAGAACTATCTTTAAATCAAGATAAAAATGAAGCAGATTCTGTTAATTTGTATGCATTAGAGACTGCTAGTCCTCAAAAGGTAGACTACAACACACAAGAGGTAGCTGTTGCACCTGCTGAAAGTGAGACCAATGCAAAATCAGGAAGATTAAAACTCTCTCCTTCTGGTAAGTCTCGCAAAGGAAAGGAAAAACCTCTTTCACCAGAGACTGATGTATGCAAGAGTCATGGCAATGCCTCTTTGAAAGATGTTTCGGCTGTTAAAAAGAGTGAACTGTTCAAGGAAGAAAGATCAAATGCTGGTTACAAAGAACCACAAGCGTTATTGGAATTAGAAGCCCAAAGTCCTAATACAGATCCTGTGTGTTCCACACAAAATGAGAAATCAGAAGAATCACACAAGACAGCTCAGAACACACTAGATGCTTCTCCAGCCAGCAATCTCAGCACACAAGTTGTTGTGAAGGGATTTGCCTATGCAGTTACCAAGTCAGTAAGTTCAGATCATGATGAATCATCTGTTGTAGAGCCAGTGGACAATGCTGTCATCACTGACACAGCTGGACATGGAATTCAACAAGAACCTTCTGAACAGATTAAAGTTTTTGACATTAAACCTCTAGCCAGCTCAACGCCAAATTGCCATGTAAAGGAACAATCTGTTTCACTGGACAAAACAGAAAAAACTGATTTAGCACCTCCACAGCCTGCTGATGATAATTTAAATCAGAGTGAAGACTCATTAGCTGATGTAGTTTATGAATCAGAATCTCCAGTCTCAAATATTGAGGACAATAAAACCATGTCAGAGAATGTAGCAGAAATGTTTGTAGAAGCAGCATCAATTGCAGAAAACAAAGAATCTGCACATAACATACCAAAACAGGAAATTGAAGAGATATCTTCTGCAGAACCTACTGTTGGAAATACTGACCAAGTATCATTTCGACAACCAAGTACAAACAGTGGTGAGTTTTAAGTTAGTTAAGTCAGATGATGAACTCCACATGTTTTCTCTGCACATACTCGATTCTCCAGTGTGAGAGATCACTGTCTGAGATTTGACCCAAAGCGTATATTCTATTTATATTCTCATGTCATAGCTCTGCAAGGATCTGTGATCTTTCTTGTAGTTATGTACTAAGTTGTTAATCAGTGCGAAAATTTAAAACCAAGCAGTGGCCAAACCGAAGCATTGAGTCTGTAGAGCAACTACATAGCTAGGCAATTGTGTCTGCAGAGCAATGCCATGGGTATATGGTGCCACAAATTGCAATGAAGTCTTACATAGTTCTAAGTGAAATTGGAATATTATGTCTAGTTATGTGATTTATGTCCCCGGGACTCACTGTTACATGGAAACTTTATCAAAAACAGAAGAAATACAGAAAATGTGCTGAAGCTGCTTTCACATTGATATGTCAATTGCTTATTTCTTCACTATGTGTCTGTTTTGGGGGGAGGGGAGAAGTGAGTGTATGATAATGAAGTAATGTGCTTTATGTTTCATTCTAGACATGTTTGCACCATTTTATGAAAGGTGTCATTTCTCTAGAGCTATTAACTTGCTGGCTGTATGGATATGTGCGTTGGTGTTACTCTTCCTTAGCAAGAATTCTTGAATTTAATAAGATAAATTTATTTTAAAAATTCTAGGAACTTCTATAATTCCAACAGAAACTACAGAGGAAAAGGAGAATAACTTAATGGAGAATCAGGCTAATTCAATTTCTACAGAACATTCGGAAGACTTGAAGAGACAGATAGAAGAACTGAAAAATGTGAGTGAGCTACATTTGCAAAGTTTATGATACACTTATGTGATTATGTACATGAACTATGTACATGTACATACATGACTGTACATTTATTCAACATGTTACTACACGATGTGTATGCACAACACACATTAGATGTGTGTTGTTTGTTGAAGAAAGTTCGACTGAAGTCATGGTTAGATTCTAGAAGGTTATTGTTAGTCATAATTCCTTCTCCATTATGTTACTTTCCAGGAAGTTGCAAATCTCAAACATGTCATTCAAGTTCGTGAGAGTAAGTTAGTTGAAGTTAGTAAAGAAAATGTAGACCTGGAAGAGACAAGTGCTATCCTGAGAAGGTAATTTGTATGTCACTTACTGTTTAAAAGTTTAAGATACATGCAAAGTCAATAATTGCTTGCAACCATCTCTGTGTCATGTTTTTTAGCTACGAATGGTTCAGGTTCAGTTCACGGTTGGTTCAGTTGCTAGCTACTATTCAAGAATAATAACCTGAGTGTGCTATTTCTCTATGTGCACTCCTTGGGGAAGAAGGGAGACTGAAGTAGAGAGAGGCATGAGAATTCATCAAGCCTACTGCAAGTGTTGGTTTTTTAGGGTCCTCTTGCTTGTCTAGTTTTTGGTGATTGTTTTTCCTGTTCTCAAAAGCTATTCACCAATTGATATTTATTATGATAATCTTTATTGACTCAGTCCAGGGGAACATAAATTACATTGAGAAGTATTAAATGCATATTATAATAAAGTTTCCATATAACGCGTGCTCTGGTTGGCTGAAACAGCGTGCTTTATCAGAGAACAGAGCACGGTTTGATGACGGTAAATTGGCTTCCAAATTTTTGCTTCGGAATTTTGACAAATTTGACTTAAATTAAACATCCCCTGTGACTCAGACAAACGCAGTGAAAGCGAGCTATTTTTCTGCAGTAAATATGGCTCACAGAGACCATTGTTAGCAACAGCAGT